CTTCAAGTTAATTTTTGTAAATGGTGTGTACTGTGATTGAGTGCATTTTTAAAATTTTTATTTTTATTAAAAAATGTTTTTACATTTATTTATTTTTGAGAGACAGAGTGTGAGTAGGGGAGGGGCAGAGAGAGAGGGAGATACAGAATCAGGAGCAGGCTCCAGGCTTCGAGCTGTCAGCACAGAGCCCGAAGTGAGGCTTGAACCCACGAACTGTGAGATCATGACCTGAGCTGAAGTCGGATGCTTAACTGACTGAGCCACCCAGGCGCCCCAAGTCCATTTCTTTTGTATATTGATAGGTGTGCCACTAACATTTGTTGAAAAGACTCATTTCTTCTTTGAATTGTCTTGGCATTTGTCAAAAATAAATTGACCATAAGATAGAGATGTGGGTGCATTTCAGGACTCCCTATTCTGCTCCATGAAATGAGGTAAATATATATTTTTAAACTGTCCAAGTATAGGAAGAAAATTAGAAAGCTCTCATTAAGTCTTTGCTTACATGGTTTTAAAAAATGTTTCTCTTCAATCTTTCTGGAAATCATAGTTGTATTGTGATGTGAGACTCTAAAACTTTATTTCTTCTAAATGTATATGCAGTTACTACCTGCCACTTGTTGACTAATTTTGCCTCTGATTTTAAAGATCACCCTATCCAAACATTTATATCTGTATCTATATATCAATATCTATATATTTATCATACATCATATACACACACACTAAGTACATGGATTTCTGTTTTTAGGCTATCAGTTTTGTTTTATTGCTCTAGTTTTCTGTTTCTATACCCAATATCATGCTGTTTTAATGTACATTACTGTAGTTCTGATTTATGGTAGAGCAAATTTTTAAAAAATATTCTTCTTTTTCAAAAATTTCTTGGCTATCCACTTCACATTTACTCTTCCAACTGATCTTTGTACATCTTGAAAAAATATATTGCTTCATGATTTTGTTCCTCTGTAGAGAACTGCTAACACTTTCCTTTTTTAGAAAGGGTATGATTGATTTTTTTCAGCTCACTTACATTAAGAGAAAGTGACTCCACAGGCTATAAAGGAATCAGGCAGAACAGGTTTGGGCATGTCTTCACAGTGTAAACAGATCTGTCTACAGATGTGGTTCTGAAATAATGCGTTTAATAATAATACACTGTAATTAATGTGGTGTCCTCTGGCCCCTTGGCCCCTCAGCATCCCAGGAACTATAACTCAGAGCGTGTTTTCCAAAGCAAAGGGCAGAGGGGTTTAATAAAGAGCAGAACTGTAGAACAGCTTGATTTCCTACATCTTCTACCACATGATTCAGAAATATTGTGTAAAGTATGTGAAACTAAAAGATATTTCATATTTACTCAGAATTTCCTGATCATCTTTTGAATGTGGGAGTTTCAGTGTCAATAGTTGCAAATTGGTTTTCATTAGTCCTTTTTCATCATTCTTCACTGACAGGTCTTAAAACCAGTAGGAATTCTGATTGGTGTACTGAGTCTAAAATTTTCTGGCTTCTAAACAAACTTTCAGTATCCTCTACAGTAATCTTTTGGGACGTGTTTTCCCTTAAATGCTATGCTACCTCTAATAGTAGTTGTTTTATGACTCGAGATTCCAGGGTATTAAATATGGATGAACATCTTTCTTCAAGATGGGTGTCTACTATCACACACTGACGATCATCATGATGTATCTACATTTTTTTTTTTTTTTGAGAGAGAGAGCCAGCAAGAACAGGGGAGAGGCAGAGGGAGAGAGAGAATCTTAAGTAGGCTCCATGCCCAGCGCACAGCTTGACCTAGGGGTTCGATCTCATGACCTTGGGATCATGACCAGAGCTAAAATCAAGTCAGACACTTAACAGATTGAGGCACCCAGGCATTCCTGAGGTCATCTACCTTTAGAGAAGGACACAGCTGTGCTGCCCTAACTCTTTTAGGCTGTTATGCTCTGGGGGCCTGTTGCAGCAAGAGTTAGACTTTGTGTAGGAATGACAGTCGGTGGAGCTCACAAGACTATGGATTCAGAGATAGTGACAGCATAATTTACAAATTCCAGATAGAGTCTGAGTCCAGGAAGCGATTTTTTCTGCTTGAAATATTAACATTTTGTTTTCACTTGACAACATTATCTTCATGAGCATATTTTAAATATCAGAATAATCTATTTTATATACATACCATAATATTTAATAAATGCATATAATTTTCTTATTTCTAACATTTTATTCTTTTCAAAAATCTGATGAGTATATTTAAACATATTACTAGTTGCTTACCAAAAGTGTTTTACAGTTTTTAGTCCTACTAGCAAATAACACATGACACCATCAGTTTTAATATAACTCTTATCAGCATCATATTTTAATTGAGTTTTAATTTAATGAATGAAAATTATTTGTCATTTTAATTCTACATTTTTATTACTAGGAAGTTCAAGGATATTCATGTATGCTTGTCATTTGTTTCTTTTCTTGAGAGTATCACAAGAACATTATTTAATCTAGATTTTGTAAGATGAAGAAGGAAGAAAGGATATTCCTGAAAGAGAATTCAGCACATGAAAAGTACATACAAGTGTATAAAACATGGGTAACAAGTGTTTGTGAATACAGTAGCTTAGATATTATTCTGGTCTTTGTGTTTATCTTGTTGATTTATAGGAACTTTTCATATAGCAAATATGTTAAGCATTTATATCCTAGCTGCTGCACAATTTTCCCTTTTTCTGTCCTTTTAAATTTCTCAAAAGGCTGATGTGCATAACATGAGTAATTTTGTTTATTTATTTATTTTATAATTCTTTTTGATGATTTACTATTTCTGGACAATATTGTTGTCTGTGAGGATATAGCCATACATGAAATGAACAAAATCTCTGACTCTGAAGAGTTTACATTCCAGCTGACAGGGAGAACAAAAGCTAAAAGTGAATAGATAATATGTTACATTATGATATAAAGAAAAGTGAATCTGAATATGGGGCCATCTGGCTGGGGTACAGTGAGTAAGAGGAGAATGGAAGATGATGAGGTCAAAGAGGAGCAGGAGGCCAAACTAAATGAATTAGAGCCTAAGGCAAGAATTGGTTATTAATGGAGAGTGGAAGCCACAGGAAGATTCTGAGCAGGAGTCATGTGATCCATCTTGCAGTATAAAAGGATCCTTCTGGCTGCTGTGTGGAGAAATTTTCAGGGGAATCAAAGATAGAAATAGGTAAACTAGTAGGAGGCTATTTAATAGTGTAGGAGAAGAGATATTATCCTGATTCTGGGTATTAGCTGTGAAGGTGGTAAAAAGTGGTCAGATTTTGTATACATTTCAAAGACAGAGCTGAAAGAATTGGTTTGGATGTGGTGTGTAAGAGAAAGAGGAGTGTCAGGAATAAATAATTTCACCATTTAAGGAAAGGTGCTAATTAGTTCAAAGAATAGACTTGTGATTTATTAGGATGAAGAAAACATTTATATTAGGATATTTGTGGTGTTAGGGAAGGAAAGTAAAAATTAGGTTTTGGACATGCATATTATACTTTAGATGCTTATATATTGCAGGAGATGTCAAATAGAAAATGGGATGAGTCTTGAGGTCAGGGGAGAGGTCTGAAATGGAGATTGTTCATATATAGATAACATTTAAAGACATAGGAGTAGATAAGATCACTTAAGGAGTCAGAAGTCTAAGAACTCTGTATGTGTATGTATGTGTGTGTACCATTGTCAACTAAACAATTACATGCTATATCATAAAATGAAACACAATGGTCCACATTGGCTTCCTCTCAAAAATTGATTAATGTATCTGCTATTATATATATTCAAGACAGGTACTATCCTGTAAAATTTAGCTATAGGAAGCAATTTTAAAATTATAGAGTTTTAAATTGGAGTGATCTTGGAGATAATTCTTTTATAGTTAAAGAATCAAAACCCAGATGAATCTTTATTTCTCAAGGTCACAGCATAGAACATTGCACAATAGAATGATTTTGTCTTTTATGATTTTAATCCCATTAGAGATTTTAACATTTGAAGTTATATGTGATATGGATGTAACAGAGTAAAGAATAGTTTGAAAGCAGACATGATGTTCCAATCTTTCAAGTACATGTTATGTGGGAGACAATCTCTAAGGGTTAGTCATCTGGAAATAAGGTCTAGAATTAATATCTGTAACCAGGTCCTTTCACTGGATTCCTAACCATTCTTCTAATTTTGTTTATTATTTCCTAGATATGTCAGCAACCAAGTCACTTTTCAATTTTGAAGAATAACTGCATACCTTTGATAGAAAATGTGTTTTGGGGCGCCTGGGTGGCGCAGTCGGTTAAGCGTCCGACTTCAGCCAGGTCACGATCTCGCGGTCCGGGAGTTGGAGCCCCGCGTCAGGCTCTGGGCTGATGGCTCAGAGCCTGGAGCCTGTTTCCGATTCTGTCTCCCTCTCTCTCTGCCCCTCCCCCATTCATGCTCTGTCTCTCTCTGTCCAAAAAATAAATAAACGTTAAAAAAAAAAAAAAAAAAAAAAAAAAAAAAAAAAAAAAAAAAAAAAAAAAAAAGAAAATGTGTTTTTTCACTGTATTAGAAAGAGAAACTAAGATATATAATAGATGTCAGTGTCTAGTTATGTTTCACACTGGGTCAAAGCTACATTGGGTAAACATTTATACATATAACAGACTGGATCTTGGGGCAACAAAATGTACTGAAGAAAATTAAGTCTGAAATTGATGTTAGTATCAAACTCTTCAACCAGGTTACTGGAGAAAATGAAAATATTTTCTTACTATTTATTCTACTCTTCTGTAAGGGAGAGGGAACATATCTCTCTCAAAGTCCTCTACAAGGACTTTGATTCCATTTCTAAAGAGGGAATAGCATTGGTGTAAACCTTCCAGCTTACACTGTTACATTTTTTCTGGGGAAAGTCCAGTGTACATGGTCCCTCCATTGGCTGTTGGTTATAGTGCTTTTAAGATGCATGCATTGCCTCTCTCTCTATCCAGGTGGCAAACAAATGACTCCAAGGTCACAATTTGGGGAACATTATGGGAGAACTAAACAACCAGAAGTCACATATTTGGGTGAGTGATCTTTTATTTCCTTTTAATACTCTATGTCTATCTCACAAATTGTGTAGAAACCCTAGGGCAAGAGCTGTGATTAATTATACCCAAACTTTTAACATCTCACATTATCCATTTATGTGCTAAATATCATACTTTTCTTGAAATTTTGTAAGTGTGAGATTATTATTTAGTGGGTTGGCCAGAAGACCACCACCACCACTCACTCTCTTGTGAGTCCTGGAGGAATGGATAAAGCCATATGGAGCAGCCAGAGTTTACAAAATCCTAGGGTTGGTTCTTATTTGACAGACACTGAACAGAAGAATATTAGGGTGGAGTGCAGAGAAAATCATGGCCAAAAGAAACATCTCCATAATGAAAATAATAGGTTTACTGAGTGCATTCTTTATACTGATGTTGACTTTTTTGACTTTTGAGTGAAATATAAAAACATTTTGTGTTAGGAAGTTAGAACAAATTTTGGAAAGAAGTGGTTAAGGGCATCAGAGCACGGAGGATAAAATCTTTGGTTGTTACCAAAGATTCATGGCAACAATTGCAAGCAAATTTAAAATAAATTAAAAAATAGAAACATTTCCTACTACTTTAACACAGACACATGATTTTAAAATACATCTACTTGAAAAAAAATATTACTTAAGTTGGGCTTGGTACAGGTGATAATTCCAAGAATGTGCTTTATAGCTCTAGTGGTTTTGAGTTATGAGTACCCAAGAAAAGGTTTTGAATATTTTCTTGAGTTAGAGAATAATCATTACCCATTTTGCCTTCTTATAACTTAAAAATGTTAATTATAGGGCCTAAACTGTACTGTTTTATGGTACCATGAGGACATGAGCAATTGCCTAGAAAAGAGTAAGTTGTTATTTTACTTTCTGGTTCCCTACCTCAAAATATCAAGGGTATTCCTATATAGCGTATAGGCTTTGAGATTGGAAACTTCAAAGCGGTTTTGAGTTTATTGTCTTTATGTCTTTGATTGTTGAATTGAATGGGTTGTCTGTTGGAGGTTTTGAGTGGGGAGTCATACCTAGGGGCAGATTACCCTCTTTCTTGCAAAGCTCTTGGAACTTTAGTATATTATCTGTCTATAATAGAGATCTGTTCTCTTTTTGTAGGAGCAACCACTTTATAGCTCTTGCTCTAAAGTAACAACTATGTACTACATGATAGTACATCATGGATGGTATAGCATAGCAAATTATTATTAAAGATCCTAGTATGTTGAGAAGAGCTTAAGACTATACATGCAACATTTCCATTTCCTCTGGAAACACAGAAATCTTTAATTCATATGAGCTAGTAGTTTTTTTCTTTTTTCTTTTTTCCTAAAAGAAATCAGGAAAGGATTTGTCTTATATGGAGAATCAAAATATCTGAAATATAATATTATATATTACTATCTTAGAAGAATTTTCCAGTTGTTGGTGTTATTGCTTAGTAGATAATGTAATGGATAGTTTAAATGACATATTAGGAGGTGCAAGACATACAAAAAGGAAAAAAAAAATCAGGGTGAAGAAAGGTTATGGCCAGGAAATGAAGGAAAAATGAAAACCTAAAAAAGGTTGTTTTCTGGTTTGGATAACAGTAGGAAAAAAGAGACATGAATGTAGATTTAAAAATAGTATTATAATAGTGATTAGTTATGCTGTGTAGCTGGTTTTTATTGCTTAGATATTAAACAACTGTTGCTTTGAATTTGACAAATGGAAACTGAGTTTGGGACATTTATTTTTTATTTATTTATTTATTTTTTTAAATTTTTTTTTTCAACGTTTATTTATTTTTGGGACAGAGAGAGACAGAGCATGAATGGGGGAGGGGCAGAGAGGGAGGGAGACACAGAATCGGAAACAGGCTCCAGGCTCTGAGCCATCAGCCCAGAGCCCGACGCGGGGCTCGAACTCACGAACCGCGAGATCGTGACCTGGCTGAAGTCGGACGCTTAACCGACTGTGCCACCCAGGCGCCCCGGGACATTTATTTTAAAATAGATACTTGCTTTTGTTATTTTTGTTTTTAAAAAAATTTTTTTAAACGTTTATTTATTATTGAGAGACAGAGAGAGTCAGAGCATGAGCATGGGAGGGACAGAGAGAAGGGAGACACAGAATCTGAAGCAGGCTCCAGGCTCTGAGCAAGCTGTCAGCACAGAGCCTGACATGGGGCTCAAACTCACAAACTGCGAGATCATGACCTGAGCCGAAGTCAGATGCTTAACCGACTGAGCCATCCAGGTGCCCATTTTTAAGTTTTATATAGTGGACTTTGATATGATTTAGAGAAAATAAATTGATGAATGAATGATATTGGGAAATCTAGCATTCATTGGAAAAATACTGCATTATAAAGATAAGGTTATAGAAGCTGTTATTTGGATATTTAATTAGTTCTAATTGAAAAATAATTGGACTCATGATTGATGCATGGTCTTACTTTAGCAGTTTTTTTAGGAAGTGTTTGAAAAAAAGTATTTACTTGGTTTTGAGTTATGTGAATGTGTAAAGAGTACATATTTTTCATTTTTAAGGCAATAAAAAATATTTTTTTCTGTTACTCTTTTATACACCATACCAAAAAGAACTTTATTTAGATTTAGATTTAGAGCTTTCTGGGAGATTGAACCTCATCAAGCAAAATTTTCTTCTGAGTAACTTCTAAGGGTAATGATATTATAAGACAGTAAATATTTATGTTATTTTTTTATAAAGTTCATGATAATTTCACATGACTAGACATATAACTTTTAATGACTATGGAGTTTCAAAAACACGTGGCATTATTTGATGTTTATTTGTGGTTTTGTGCTACTTTTTTTTGTAGAAGTGGATAATTCTTTACTTTTATAAGGGGATTGTTTCCCCCTCATCTATTTTTTTTTAAAGAAGGTACCACATTTATAAATGTGTTTAGCTGGAACAAATGTTAATACTGCTCTAGGCAAGTGACATGTATTAACACTTCAAAGCCATGGAACACTAAAATTAAGGGTGTTTTGAGTAAAACACATTCTGACAAAATCTGTGTTACTTAAAACATTTGTTGTAGTATGGTTTTAAAACTTAACCTAAGATGTCAGACACTCTGTAGAACCAACATTAAAATGTACTCACTAGCAGAGTAGATCCTATCATTGAGAATGATTATCGATACATTAATTAATTAGTTACTTAGTTAACTCATTTTTGTTCATCAACTACATACTGAGAATTGATCAGTTAGTACTTTGCTAGGAGCTAAGTACATAGTGGTAAACAAAGCATAAAATCATTACAGTTAGAAGACTTTCAGATAAAAATGTTCTACCTTTATTCTCCCAGATTTTCGTATCTACTATTCTAACTTGTTTAACTTTGTGGTTTGGATGGCAACAGGAAATATTTACAAAGAGAAATGACTTTGGAATCAGCAGATCTGTGTTTAAGGACTAGCTATGTCATGTTCTGTCTTTCTGATATGAGCAAATTACTTAAATCTCTGCAAGTATCCATCTTATTATCTTAGTGCCTAATGGTTGCCCTAGAATTTCTAAACAGGAAAAGACCAGGGATCAAAATTTGGTTGGAAGAGAGGCATATGGGGCTTATCTTGGGACTGCATTGACAGAGCAAACACATTTATTTTTACTTAGGTTATATATTTGTTTGGGATGGATTAATGGAGATTATGGAGGATGCCTAATCTCTCCTAAATGACCTCTGGACGCAGCCACTATCAGGACCTAGCCCAGCATGCAGAATTTTGTATAACTCGTAGTGGTGTGTCTAGGATCATGTGAGATATACATGAGAAAGAGCATATATCTGTATATCTATTTTGGCATATTTTATATAGATATATAAATATATGCCCATACATACATAAACACACACACATATTCTATTATTACTTTTTGGGAAATCATAGCCTAGAAGGGCAATTTACTTGAGAGATTTGGGGGAAGGTTCTCTTCCTAAGCCCTAAACACTATACATTTTTAGGAATAAGGTTTGTGGACCCAGAAGCCTCAATTAGTTTCTTCTCAAAAAGGGAGTAGTTGTATGATTCCCAGAGACCTGCTCTGAGCACATCATGTCTGGCTCATGCTAACTTCTCTCTGAGGGGGAGAGGTTTGTGAGGCATTTCACACAAAGCAATTCATTGTTTGAACGACTCATTCAGGAAATTGCTTTTGCAGATCTGGTCTCTCATTTTTCGTCCAATCCTCTTTCTGTATCATTCTACTATGTCTCCTCTGTATCTCTGAAAGAGCATATAATGGCTTAATTAGTCATTCATTACCTGCACAACAGATTTAAAATGTATAAACTATGACTCAGATATACAGAAATATAACTTTATTTTTCTGTAGCTGAGCCAAGAGCACTCTTTATGATGAATGCAGAAAATAGTTAATCTTGGCCACTTCCTCTTAGGTATCATAGAATATAAAGCAATTCAGAACACATTTACATTGTTAGTTGGGTCACTAAGCTCTTCAAGGGCAGTGAATATTCCTTAAGTCTGTGTCTCCAAGCACCTAGGAGATTATCTGATAAAAGGAAGATTTTCAATAAATGTTTATTCATACAAAAGTATTCTTCAGTTTTAAGTTTTTGATGTGGTCAATATGATACACTAATTCACTATCAGAAAAATTTGCTGGAAATGTGAGACAGATTTTTCTGCCTGAGTTGTAAATGTTAGTAACATTCAGTGCTGGATTTCTAGGCCCTCTTCCCTTCTCATTCTAATATGGTGTTCTTAAGTGGTCTTCTCTATTCCTCTACTTCTGTTGCCTTTCATATGCCACCAATGCCTACATGGGTATCTCCAGGCCAGATCTCTCTTTTGAGTTGCAGGCATATATATTGACTGCCTACAGTTCTTTTTCCTGGATGAGAAAGGCATCTCAAAGTCTCTCTGTCAAAAACTGAAATCATAGCATTAACCTGTATTTCTGCCTCTTCAGTGTTTCCCACATCAGTTAAAGTACTGCATCTCAATCCATTTGCATACCTACTCATTCAGTAAGTCTCTACTATGTATCTTTAATATTTCAGGAACTGTGGTTGATGTCAGGAATGCAATAATAAATAATAAGGTCATGGTTGCTGTCCTCACTGATTTTTTTGTCTTTTCCTTATCATTACCCCTCACATCTAATCTGTTACCAAGTCCTGTCCTTCTACTGGAAGACAT